CCCCGGGGGGCCGGTGGCTCGGGCGAGGGCACCCATAGCCTCGGAGGCCCCTGCGGTTTCTGCTCGAGTCCACAGGGCGAGCTCCCCATGGCCCAGTCTGTGCACTAGCAAGTGTGAGCAGCCGGCGGCGGGAGCAGGCGGGGAGGGAGCGCCGCCAGCGGGATGGGAGCTGCAGCAGCTGGGTAGGAGCTGCAGCAGCGTGGGGGCTTCCAGAGAAGCCCAGGCCGGGGCTGTGCCCACCTCAAAGGCCAGCTCCCTGCCCCAGGTGATGGCAACCCTTGCCTGGCAGTGCCAGTCTTGTCGGCCACAGCCTGTCCACCGAGGCAGCCTGAGCCTCAGGGTCAAACTGGCAGCAGATGACCCGGGGCCTGAACGAGCATGGGTAGGAGCTGCAGCAGCGTGGGGGCTTCCAGAGAAGCCCAGGCCGGGGCTGTGCCCACCTCAAAGGCCAGCTCCCTGCCCCAGGTGATGGCAACCCTTGCCTGGCAGTGCCAGTCTTGTCGGCCACAGCCTGTCCACCGAGGCAGCCTGAGCCTCAGGGTCAAACTGGCAGCAGATGACCCGGGGCCTGAACGAGCACCCTGGCTTTCCCTGGGTCCCCACATTCTGGGGTGTGCCTCTAGCCAGCTCTGTACCCATGGGCTGGGGAAGAGTCACCCCCTCCAGTCGGGACTGAGGCAGCATTATAGGGCCGAGCAGGTGAGGGTACGAGATGAGCCACCACCTTGCCTCACCGTCCCCACGTCCCATCCAGGGACTGGGACATGTGAGCGCCCACCAACAATGGGCACGCTTTTCGGGGTGAGGCCTGTGGCCTCGGGGTGACTGGCAGAGGGCACTAAGCGTAGCCCTCAGTGGCCCCGGTCCCCCGGCTGCAGGGTGGCCCGTGCGAGAAGCCAGGCCCCTTCTCCAGGCACGGGAGCAGCTGGGAGCTGGGCCTGCCCTGTGGCTGCTGGGCCCTGGCTCGCTCCTCTGCTCCTGGGCCTCGTCAGGGGAGAGGGAGCTAACCCAGGAGTGCTGCAAAGGGTTGTATGTGAAGACGGGGCTTTGTGCCCGGACACACAGAGACGCCAGCGACAGGGAGAAGCCTTGCTCCACGGCACGGCTACAAAACCTGGTAGCTGGAGCCGGACTGCAGCTGGCCGAGGTCGCTCAGGCGCCAGTGGTCCCCCGCAGGCCCCAGCTGGCCCCGTGTCTGTGCACGTACCGTGCCGTCCGCCTGCACGTACTGTGCGGTCCGCCAGCGGGAAGACGTTCAGGGAGCTGGGACGCTCCTTCCTGCTGGGACACGAGGGGAGGACAGCGGGTTAGACGAGGTGGGGGGGAAGCCAGCGCTTCCGGCCACGCAGCTGCCTCTGAGGACGGAGCTGCTCCTGACGCCGCCCCGCAGCCTGGCTCGGAGGGACGAGGCAGGCAGCCCTGCTCTGCTCAGGCCTCCAGGCCTCTTCACGAGCCCCAGCCCCGGCCCACGGTGCCACGTGGCTCCTATTGAGGGGCCTTTGAGCAGCCGCCACAGGATGCCGAGCCCCGGGCAGAGCGAGTGACGCCCCTCCATGGAGAAGGCCTATCTCAGGTGAGCCCAGGCCCGTCGGCCCTGTCTGCCTCCCCGGCTGGCAGAGAGCCGCTGGCTTGTGGCCTGCTCTGCTCTCGCCCTGCCCAGTCCCTTGTAGTCCTGCTCCCTGGGGCCTTCTCCTGGACGCGTCCCGCATCACCCTGCCAGAGCCCGAGGGGCCGTCTCTCCACCCTCCTGGCTGTCGGGGGCATCTGTGCTGAAGACAGCCTCGCTGCTTGGCTCTGCTGGAGAGTAGGTGTCTGGGGGACGGCCGTCACGAGGCTGGGGCTAGGGGCTGCCACCTGGGGTGGGGTGGGCACGGGCACTGTGGACAGAGGTCCACATCCTCGCCCCACAGCCCCCTGTCAGAGGTTCCAAGCAGGTGGCCCAGGCTGCCACGCGGGGCACACATGTCCTCAGGCTGGAGCCTGCACTTCCTGAAGTGAGACGTGTTCCGTGTGCACGCTCGTGGGAGTGAGTCACCCCAGAGCCTCTGCAGCTCGGAGCTCAGCCTGGAGCGCGGGGCGGGCGCCCTTGGGAGGCCAGCCTGTGTGGAGGGGGGCACTGCGGATGCAGAAAACGAGGAGGAGGGCAATCAGTGGCCACCACTAACTGGAACCTGCCAGGCTGAGCTGGGCTTCCGGCACGTGGCTTCACCCGCTGTCCCCCATGGGCTAGTTCCAGTCCAGGGAGCATGTCTCCTGGGGCCCAGCCCTGACCCAAGCAGGTGCGTCTAATCAGGACCTCAGGGGACATGTGCATGGCGGGCGCCTAACCAGCCAGGCTGTCGTCAGAGGCCACAGGGGATGGCAGGGGCAGAGGAGTGGCGAGGTGGGCTCGCTGCCCCCCCAGAGATAGCTCCCTGACCAGGAGGGGGCCTCGTCTCTGTGTGGCTCCCCGTGGAACCACGTGTGACCCTTGTCTATGCCCAGCAGGCAGCTGGTGGCATGACCGACAGCCTGGGGTCCTCTCAGTTCATCCTCACGCTCCCTCAGGAGATGCGCGTGCCCATCCACTCCAAAGACCATTACCCTCAGGCGGGCATCACGGTCAGGCCACCCACAGGCCCTATGGCCACCAGAGCCCACACCGTGCTACCTGCTCTGGGCACGAGTGGGTGAGTGACAGAGCAGCTGGCCAGCCTTGCGCTCTGTGGCCTGCTTACCGGTGGGTTACGGCCGAGACAGGGCATGTGCATTGTTACCTCCTGGGCACCCCCCCAGGGCGCCGCCTCCTGCGTGACTGGCAGGTACTCCCGACCTATAACCAGCTGCAGAAGACAGCGCTGCTAAGGAGCCACTACGGGCACATACAGAGAACAGTCCGCTGCCCGGACTCTCCCCGGGCAGCCTCAGGCCCGAGGAGACTCTCCCGACCACCTGGCAAGCAGGAAGCCAGGCGGCCGCGGGCTTTACCTTTTCCTCCATGACTGGCGAGGACTGCGGGTGGCGACAGACACGGGCAGCACACAGCAGCGACAGCACAGAGGCGAGACAAGAAGACAGAGAACACAGTCAGGTGTTCTGTGCACGCACTCGCGGGAGTGAGCGTGCAGCTAGGTGAGACGTGTTCCATGTGCGCGCTCGCGGGAGTGAGTGTGCGGCTAGGTGAGACGTGTGTGTGCGCTCGTGGGAGTGAGTGTGCGGCTAGGTGAGACGTGTTCCATGTGCGTGCTCGCGGGAGTGAGTGTGCAGCTAGGTGAGATGTGTTCCATGTGCGCGCTCGTGGGAGTGAGCGTGCGGCTAGGTGAGACGTGTTCCGTGTACGCGCTCGTGGGAGTGAGCGTGCGGCTAGGTGAGACGTGTTCCGTGTGCGCGCTCGTGGGAGTGAGCGTGCGGCTTGCGGGAGCATGCAGCTAGGTGAGACGTGAGGGCACCCCGCCGTGCTCCCTCACATGAATGGACAGAGGTGGGCACACGGGTGCCTAAAGGCGACACACAGATGCAGCCCTCCTGGCTTAGCAAGAGGTCCTCGAGGCTGTGCACATGACGCTCACCCAGGGCAGAGCAGCAGGGCGCCAGAGGGGTCCCTTCATAGACAGCCCAGCACACATGTGCACAGCACACAAGAGCACACAGCACACATGCACAGAGCACACGAGAGCACACGGCACACATGCACAGAGCACACGAGAGCACACGGCACACATGCACAGAGCACACGAGAGCACACAGGACACAGCACAGGAGCGCACACAGCACACATGTGCACACAGTATGAGTGCACACAGCACACGTGCACACAGAACACGTGCACATACACACAGACGTGCTCTTGCCCACACGTCGGCGGGCCAGCCCCAGCACAGACAGACGTTTGCACTCACACGATGGCTTAGACAGACTCAGAAAGCCACACCAGGAGGGAAGGAAACGCCGTCTGAGCTCCGTGGCCAGTGGCTCAGCGGGAGCAGGCGAGGGCCTTGCAGGGAGTCTGGCTGTCTAGCCAGGCACACAGGGCAGACTAGCCAGGGCAGACACACGGCCAGGGATCAAAGCCGTGAGGAGAGAGGAGCAGGCTCCCTGTGGGCAGAGTGGGCTTGCCTCCAGCCGCCCACTTGGCAGTGGCGCCGTCCCCACCCCGAGCTCTGCACGTCAGGCACCCACAGGACCACAGAGGGGCTGGACCCCCAGCTTCCACCAGAAACACGGGGCTGCGGCTGCCACATGCCAGGCCAGCTTGCTCCCCACTGCGGTGCTGACAGCTACCGTGGCGAGGAGAGCACCGTGGACTCTGGGTCTGGTGAGCTCCTAGATAGGCGCTGCAGGCCCAGGGCTGCTGACCACAGCCATGGCCTAGGCGCTCCCACTCTGCCCGGCTCGCCCCTGCACCCCTGCAGGTGCTCCTCTCAGGAAGGTGTGCTGCAGGCTTCCATCCTGAAGGTTCTGGAACGCACCACACACTGGGGGGCACACCACGGGGCACTGTCCCGCTGCTCTCCGGGAGGTGCCGAAGGCTCCACCTCTGCCCGTGCTTGATGGCTCTGTCCAGCCCTCAAAGGACAGTAAGGGGACCACACAAGGCGTAGCGGTTACGCTGCTGAACTGCCTCGTAGTCCCCCACGGTTTAAGACCCAGACTCAGCAGCTGAGAACTCACGCCAGGCACATACGCGTGCGTGCCCAAGATCCCGAGAGAACGGAGAAGGGACTGTGGCGTGGCCATCCCCCAGGGGCTGATTTTTTGCTTTGTCTCTGTCTCTCCAGTGAGCACACACGCCCTAAGCAAAAATCTCTCAAAAAAAACACCACCACAAGGTCCCTGGTTCCAGACTGGATCTAAACCCAGTCACTGGGAATCTCTCTGGGGATACTCGGAGGTGAAGTGAGGACCGGGCAGCACGTGGGGACTTCACAGGCCACGAGATGGCAGCGTGGAGACCAGACTTCCTCCTCTGAGCCTGCAAGGGTCTTCCTGTCTACCTCACACGTTCACATGCATAGCCTTGCTTCATTCTCACAGTGCTTCGGGGCAGGCCACTCATCCAGGGATAGCATCTGCCTTCCACGGCTGTGGGGTCCACTTCCCACCATGCTGGGAAAGACCCTGTGCAAACACACTCTGGTCCCCAGCCAGCCCTCCGGGGTTCTGCAAGGCCTTCGCGCACACGGGCATTTCTGCTTTCCCGGGGAGTATAAAGCACAGACCCTAACAGCTCCACCCAGAGCTCCACCTGGAGTCCCACACAGGGACCACAGAGCGGGGCTGAGCAACCTGGGGTCCTCTCTGCCCAGAGCAAGCCGGCACAGTGGTAGACTTGCAACCACGGGTCGGCATGGGACTGGAGCTTAAGGCTGGCGCTGCCATGGCCCTGGCTTCAAAGGGTTTGGCTGCAGGAATGAGCGACACGTCGTGCCTCTCAGGGCTGGTGCCAGCTCAGTCTGAGGGTGGCGATTCTGACATCAGGCCTTCCCCCTGCCCGAAGACTTCCTGACAGTGGTCCTCTCGTCTCCCACTGGACGAGATCAGTGGACACTTGGGGCCTGGGGTCCAGTCCAGCACGGGAGGACACAGGACGTGGGGAGGGAGCTGGGGCTCCCAGGCTTCTGCCCAATCACCAAGAGACACCAGCAGCCGGCCTGTACTTGTGCCCAGCATGGTTGCGCCACCTGCCAGCCGCAGGCCTACAGGGATAGCGGCCCGGCATGGCCTCAGAGCTGCCGGCCCGCAGCGGATGGCCTGGCACGGCAGATGACTGCTCAAGCAGGATGTCCCAGAAGGCCCTGGACACGGAGCTGGTGAGCACAGAGAGCCGCCCCTCGCCGAGTATGCGCTACGAATCTCACCCGGACCGATCCGAGACCCCGAAACAGCTCATCCATCTCGACTCCATTTTCTTTATTTTGCAAAAGTGAACACCAGGTCCGAAATCCTGGGTGACTGGCCTGAGACCAAGAGCTGACCAGGGCAGGGCCTGCCTACAGCCAGTGGCCAGCAGGCAGAGAGGTGGAGTTCAGTCCAGCCTGCCCGGCCGGGCGCCTACCCACCGTGGCGGACCCCGTAAGCTGTGAGGACTGCCATGGCCAGGCGGACCTCAGGGTACAAGCACACTTTGGTGAGTGGCCAGCCGTGGGGCACAGCGGCAATGTTCTGTACTGCAGAGGCCACGTGGGAGGGTGCTGGGTTCGCGTCCTGACCACCTGGCCATGTCAGCACGTCCAGGAAT